AGAATATAGTTTAATAAAGCTTGTTGAATGTACCTCAGAAGCTTTTCAACCCGCCACTAAAACATGCAACTCTTCTTCTCCAAACTCTTATTCGGCTTCCGGGTTCACAGAATTCAATCAAGAATCCGAAAGTTTGGACTTCGAAGCCATTCAGCGAACTCAGTCTGACAGAAACTTAGAAGAAACTGATAAGGATAAAATAGTACCTCATTGTAATGGTAACTCATAATAGTTACTATTTCAGTTAGATAGTTACTGTAGGGAATTTATTTTGTTTTTACCCAAAGTGTAACTATATATACATGTGTAATATTAATTTGAGAATTAATGAGAAATAATCAGAAACATTATTCTCAATATGGTATCCTCCGCTAGAAGTCTACTGACTTTGATCCTTTAGCTTTCTCAGTACCCAAACACCTCTTTTCTTCTTATTTTCTCAATGCCCAAACATATCTCTTCCGCTCTTTTCTTCTCTGATCTTGCGCATTCATGGCGGCAAATTCCTCCCATTCTTCTTCTCCGGTGATCGCGCAACCTACTTCTTCTCCTCAGGATGCTCCACCTCTTTCTTCCTCTCAGATCTCGATCAACTCCATCACGGTCCACAACATTGGCAGCATGGTCCAAATGAAGCTCAAACGCCACAATTATCTCGTCTGGAAGTCTCTCTTTGATCCGATCTTCCACCGCTACAAGCTCGCTGGAATTGTTGATGGATCTGAAACTGCACCGCCTCAATTTCTCTGTGATTCTTCCGGAAATTTCACTTCTACTCCTAATCCTACCTTCGAGTTATGGTATGAGAAAGATCAAAATATCATCATCTGGATTAACTCTACCCTATCTGAGGATTTAATTCCTTTCACCGTCGGTGTCAAATCTGCTCGAGAGTTATGGCAGAATCTTAAACGGCGATTTGATGGTGTCTCGCGTTCTCACATTCATCAACTTTGATCAAATCTTCAATCTATGACCAAAGGCAGTTCATCTATCTCTGAGTATCTCCAGCGAATCAAGGAAGTCACCGATGCTCTCGCGGCTGCTGGCGCGCCTGTCGATGATCGTGATCTTCTTCTGATAATTCTCAATGGACTTCCTGATGATTATGATTCGTTTGTTGACTCTGTGCAATTCCGTCTTGTTGATACCTCTGTTGATGATCTTCATGGTTTCTTGCTCAGTAAAGAAATGGCCCTTGCAAGAAAGAAGCATACAACAGACTCCTCTGTTGAACCTTTTCAAGCGTTTCATGTCCAACCATCATCCACCAATGCTCCTCCATTGCTACCTAAGTCGCCTATTCCCCCTCAACTGCAAGCCTACCATGCTCATCCTCAGCAGTTCTATAATTCTCAGAATCAACGCAATTCTCAGCGATTTACCAACAATCAGCGTCCCTACAATAACAACAATCGCCATCGCTTCCCTCGCTCCACCAACAATTCACAGAATCATGGTGGTAATCATGGCGGACATCGTTTTTACAATAATTTTAAGCCTAATCCATGTCAAATCTGTGAAGATCCCAGCCATCAAGCCATTGATTGCAGCAATCGTATGAATCCTAATTTTCACGGTCGTGTTCCTCCTGCTAAGCTTGCAATGTATGCAGCTCCTCCAGTTAGTTCCTCTCATCCATGGCTTCTTGACTCTGGTGCAAGTTCCTACATGACCAACAATATTCAGAATTTGCAGACTCTGCAACCCTATCAAGGTCCTGACAAGGTTTATATTAGCGATGGCCAAGGTTTGCACATTCATCACTCTGGATCTTCTTTACTTAAAACTCCTGATGCTACCTTTCAATTAAAGAATGTTTTACATGTTCCTCAATTGAAACATGATATGCTCTCTGCAAATATGCTTTCTTTGGATAATTGGTGTTCTATAACTCTAAATCCTTTTGACTTTAATGTCAAGGATCTTACTACGGGGAAGATGCTTTTTAGAGGTCCTGTTCGCCAAGGTCTCTATCCCTTCTATGCATCTCCTCATTCTTCCCGCAAGTATCTTGCTACTACTGCAATAAGGACTTCTTCTCAAATTTGGCACCAACGCTTGGGACACCCGACGATCAAGACTTTTAGAACTGTTATCTCTAAGTCTTCTCTGCCTATTACTACTTCTGTTGATAAGTTGTTTTGTTCAGATTGTATTTTGGGCAAGTGTGCAAAATTGCCATTTCATGATTCTGTTAGTCTCACATCTAGACCACTAGAACTTGTTCATGCTGATGTTTGGGGACCAGCATCATTGTTATCTGTCAGTGTTTCCAAGTTCAATGTTCTTTTTGTAGATGACTTCACCAAATATACTTGGTTGTATCCTCTCAAGAATAAATCAGATGTCTTTGTTACATTTGTTCAATTTCAAGCTTTGGTTGAAAATAACTCTGGTTTCAAGATTGGTACTTTGAGAACCGACTCGGGGGGTGAATTTCTCAGCTCTTCTTTTCATCAACATCTTACTTCTTGTGGTATTCAACATCATCTCAGTTGTCCACACACTCCCCAACAAAACGGTTGTGCCGAAAGAAAGCACCGACATGTTGTTGAAACTGCCCGAACCTTATTGATAGCTTCTAAGGTGCCTCATAAATTTTGGGTTGAAGCTTTTCTCACTGCCACTTACCTCATCAATAGGTTGCCACCTCCTTCAAAACCATCTCCATGGGAACAATTTTTTCGAAAGCATCCTGATTACAATCAACTCAGGGTTTTTGGTTGTAGCTGCTACCCTTGGTTAAAACCCTATATCACCTCTAAATTAGATGCCAAGAGTAAACCTTGTGTCTTCCTCAGTTACAGTTTGATCCATAAAGGGTATAGATGCCTCGATCCCATCACAAATCGAGTCTACATCTCTAGACACGTCTATTTTGATGAGACCTCCTTTCCTTTTCACACACTTCCATCTTCCTCTCCTACTTCTCCTTGTGACTCATCCCCTTTTTCCTTGGTCTTTCCCCATCTCTACCTTACCGTGTCCTCCTCATGCCCTGCTACTCCTACATCCCAAGTCTCTGCCTCTCCCATACTTCCAACCCCACCTCTACACCCTGCATCATCTTTGCCAAACCCTGCACCATCTTTTCCACCTAACCCTGCACCATCTTTTCAACCTGCACCTGCACCCCTATCTTCTCTACCTATCTCTTCCATTCATCCTATGCAAACTAGGTCTAAGTCAGGGATTTTCAAACCTAAAGCTTACACAGCTACAAAACATCATCTACCCTCCCACATTGACAGTGAATATGTTCCCTCGACCTATCTTCAGGCATCTAAGTACCCTCATTGGCGAGCAGCCATGCAAGATGAATTTAATGCTCTGCAGACTACAGGAACCTGGAATCTTGTTCCTTCTTCTCCTTCTCACAACTTAGTCGGCTGCAAGTGGGTTTTCCGCATTAAACGTAAACCTGATGGTTCTGTGGATCGTTATAAAGCCCGTCTGGTGGCTAAAGGTTACAATCAACATAAAGGCATTGACTTCAGTGATACTTTCTATCCAGTGGCAAAACCTGTGACCATCCGGATCCTTCTTACCTTGGTAGTTCAGTCCAGTTGGTTCTTACATCAGTTGGATGTCAGCAATGCTTTTCTTCACGGTTCTTTAAAAGAAAATGTGTATATGACTCAGCCTTCTGGATTTGTTGATCAAGAGAATCCCAACTATGTGTGTCATTTGCAGAAATCTCTCTATGGTCTTAAACAAGCCCCTCGGGCTTGATTTGAGAAACTTCAAACTGCACTCTTATCACTGGGATTTCGAACATCACAATCTGATCATAGTTTATTCATACTTCATCAGCCTGTTCTTGTTTTGGTTCTGGTCTATGTTGATGATATAATTGTTATTGGCCCTTCTTCCACTCATTGTAATGATGTTATTTCAAAGCTCAGTGCTCAGTTTCCGGTCAAGGATTTAGGTGATCTACATTATTTTCTTGGCCTTGAAGTACAGAGATCTTCATTAGGTATCTTCATTCATCAATCCAAATATATTCTGGATTTACTCAAACGATCACATATGGATTGAGCTAAGCCTTGTCTTACACCCCTTGGTTCTACTAAGCTCGATCTTTCTGGACCTTTCCTCTCTGATCCTGCAGAGTACCGATCAATTGTCGGGGCTCTCCAATACTTAACTTGGACCCTGCCGGACTTATCCTTTGCTGTTAATTTGGTGTGCCAGTTCATGCATTCAGCCAGAGAGCAACATTTTCAGGCCGTCAAACGGATTTTACGATACTTAAAAGGTACACTTGGTCTTGGTTTGTGGTTTCCAAAATCCTCCTCTTCTCTGATCCTTAAAGCCTTTTCTGATGCTGACTGGGCGGGTTGCCCGTGGGATCAACGATCTACAGGCGGGTTTTGTATTTTTCTTGGTCCATCTCTCATTAGTTGGTCTGCAAAGAAGCAACACACAGTTGCTAGATCCTCTACTGAGGCTGAGTACCGCTCCTTAGCTCATACTGCAGCTGAACTCACTTGGATCTGTCAATTATTCACTGATATTGGTTTCCAGTTACCTATCATTCCTCAGATTTGGTGTGACAATGTTTCTGCTATTGCCTTAGCATCAAATCCTGTCTTTCATGCTAGTACTAAGCATGTCGAAATTGATTATCACTATATTCGTGAGCTAGTTTTAGCCCACTTGATCCGAGTTCAGTTTGTTTGCAGTGCTGATCAACTTGCGGACCTCTTTACCAAGTCTCTTCCTCGACAAAGATTTCTTCATCTTCGGTCCAAGCTTTCTCTTCAATCCTCTCCGTTTAGCTTGAGGGGGTGTGATAAGGATAAAATAGTACCTCATTGTAATGGTAACTCATAATAGTTAATATTTCAGTTAGATAGTTACTGTAGGGAATTTATTTTGTTTTTACCCAAAGTGTAACTATATATACATGTGTAATATTAATTTGAGAATTAATGAGAAAGAATCAGAAACATTATTCTCAATAGAAACTACTAGTCTATAGTTGTTGTGACATGGAAGATTTAAGGAATTCAGTTGCACCATTAAAGTCTTCATATAAACATGATCACGACTCAATGCTGGAAACAGCTCCTTCTTTTTCGATATTTAACGAAGCAAGTGAGTTTCGTGATGAAATGATTCTGAGGCAGGATTCGAAACAAGAACCACTAGGGAGGACTACTAAAGTAGGAGATAGCATAGACGTGACCTGGAGTGGAGGCTTCAGCTTTGAGAAGATGGGATGGATTGAGGAGAAAGAGGAAGAGGAAGATTTGAAGGCGATCGGGACTTTGCGCATTGATGAAGTAAAAGGACCTGCCAGTCCTCCCTTGTGTCTTGCAACAGGGCTTGGGGTTGGTGGTGCTGGTTATGGTTGTGATGCTTGGGATAATGATTTAACTACGGAAAATGTCGATGAGAGCGACAATCCCGAAGAGTATTATAAGAGGATGGTTGATGAATATCCCTGCCACCCTTTGTTCCTCAGGAAGTATGGTCAAGCTTTAGAGGTAAGATTTCTTTGTTCAAAGACGTCTTCTTTTTTCCTCTGTTGTTTTCCCTATTTTGGTTGTTCTTAAATTTGTGATTAGGGCTATATTTAGAATTAGGAGAAGGTAAAACTGATAGAGGTATCCAAATTTCAGTTTCAATAGGTAAATTCAAATCTGCGTGTTCATATCTGCACTCGATTGTGATTGTCGTGGGCAAGGTCTAACCCTTTGTTATTTGTTACAGAACAAAGCTTGATTTCTAATTCCTGTGTAATGTGAATCAACCCTTTCATGGCAGGCTAAGGGAGATTTCGATGGAGCTGAAGATTTCTATTTCCGTGCTACACTAGCGAATCCTGGAGATGGTGAGGCTTTATGTCAATATGCTAAGCTGGTTTGGCAGCTTCATCGTGACCAAGATAAAGCCGTGAGTTACTTTGAACGTGCAGCTCAGGCTAGTCCTCACGACATGTATCGTTTTATTGATTAAATCTTTCTCCAAAGAAAACAGAAATCTACTTTCACACCAAAAAAATCTGGACTGTACTTGCTGAAGCAGTTAGATTTTGTACAAATCCGCGTACAATTTGTCCAAGTGATGCACAGTAAAAAGATCTTGACCAGATTGCAGTTTAGGCTGTTTAGCACATCTGAGTGTTAATAATTTGTTTCTGGATTGCAGCAATATTCTTGCAGCATATGCTAGTTTTCTTTGGGAAATAGAGGATGACTCGGAAGAAGATGAAGCATGTCGTGGTCAAATTGAGGTGCCTTATTGGTCTTTTTATTTTCTGGTTGAAGATATGATGGCATTTGAGAATGCTTACGTTACTGTAAATGATCTAATGCCCTGTGGAACAGATTCAGGATGTCACGGGCGATGGTGTGCCTGATACGGCAGCAGCTGGCTCAAGGAGTGACGACCCTGAGGAGAATTACAAGATGATGATTGAAGAGAACCCCAACAACGCTTTGTTGCTAAGAAATTATGCTCAGTTCTTGTGGCGGGTGAGAAACGTGCATTCTGCTCTCTTATCATTCGGTTTTTTTTTATAAAACCTCAACTTACGAAAAGTATGAAGCTACTGCAGATATGATTTCCCCAATTGTTATTGATTTATTTCAGTTTGATTTTGTGATTGACCGATTGGAGATGATCTCATTGCTTTCTTTCATACTTGTGTAACTTTATCGTGACTGCTTACAGTCCAAGGGAGACCTTCAAGGTGCAGAAGAGTACTATTTGCAGGCGATACTAGCTGATCCTGGGGGCGGTGAAATCATGGCTCAATATGCAACACTGGAATGGGAACCTCATCACGACAGTAAGAGGGCACTGTCGTACTTTGAGCCTGGAAACATTGTCTTGAAAATGTGCTTCTGTATTCTGTACTAATGTAGCTTCATTGACCGGATTAAATGACCTGTTAACATTTGGTTCCATTGTTTTTAGCTATATGCTTGCGGCGTATGCTCATGTCCTCTGGGAACATGAAGAAGAAGATGAGGAGGACAGCGTAACGCAAGCTCATGTCCAAGCGCCTCTTGTACAAGGAGGAGCCCAGAGCGTTGGAAACGCCTGAATTGCTAACACAGATTGCCGGATTGATGAATTCATATCTAATGCTTCATAGGATCAGAAGCTGTACACTCTTCTTGTTTTTGCAACCGAGAAATACAACATAAAAATCAAAGTAACTTCTGGGACAAAGTTTCAATTTCGTGCAGAATCTATGTATCAATTCATGCCAATGAAGCTACATACTACTAATAGTTGCTGGTCTTGCCTGGCTCCCCGCCTTGTGCTACTCTATTTGCGTGTAAGTGGCACCTTACCGCATTCTGCTTATCACAATTTTTGCACTTGAAGGAATGAATTTAAATTAACTGCATCAACAACAGTGACCACGGAGGATTTCGCAAAGAAAAAATGAGGTCAAAATTGCAAAAATCCAACGCCAAGAAACTCCTCAGAAAAATATGATGGATATGCCCAATACATCTAAAGCTAAACCGACTCTACGGAATACCAGTACGTAGTTTTTGCAACCAATTAAAGTTATCTGCTGACCCAAAACTTTCCCTTCACTTGCTGTAAAATCATCTTAATTAGTGAACTCCGATGAATTTTGTCCGCTTCTTGATGATTGATAACCCGAGTTCCCTGTGTCTTGTCGAGGACTTGACCGATAGTAGCCATTTCCCCTCGGTCGACTGTACTCCTGGTCACCTCCATCATAGCCACCTCCCCTCCAAAAACCCCGCGAGCCAAAATGACCTCTCGGTGCCTCTGCTTGGTAGCTGCCCCTTCCTCTTCCCCTTCCTATTCAGACAACAATTCAATTGCAATAAGATTACAATAGCAACATATCTTTATGTAAAAGCCTGGACCGTAAGAGTTTGTTATACCATAACAATTTGATCAGAAACAAAGCTCAAATATCTCTATAGCTACCGCAGTAGGCAGCCAAATTTGACTAAAACGAATTGTATCAGAGTTTCTTTCGCCAGATAACTAGAACAGGAAAGTGGATGACGCTAAGAACATTGCTAATTGCCAACTATTAAATACAGAAGCCATAGATGTTGAAATGAGACCACTATGAAATCATTATAAAATTGCCACAAAATATAATGATGTCACAAATATCACATGCACGGGCAAAAGAAACAGGGCAATCATTAAAATACCTAATTGTTGAACACTGCAATATTTTCAATTCAATGGTCCAGATAGTAAGAGAGAACCGATTACAGAATTTTAATAAGACAACAGAATACTAATATAGAAAGCATACTTCCCACTCGAGACGGGATGTTGCTGTTTGGTCTCCGCTCTTCAATGTATACTTGTCGTCCAGCAATCTGAACACTACCAGCCTATATAACAAAATAAAAACAAGAAAAAATCAAATAAAGATTCAGCAAGCAGACTTGTAGGAGGAAAGCAACTAAAAAGTTAAGAATCCATCTCCAACATTAAATTCAATTGGCATTGCAAGGAAATTTTGGTAGAATCTTCTATCAAAATTCAAATTTCGCAAATAGCACTCATTGTATTAATGGTTTCATGAGTGGACCTTGACGGCATTCTGCACACCGGTAATATCTTCAAATTCAACAAACGCATAGCAAACACCAACATCCTGCACAACAGTGAAATACTTTATAGCTTAATAATTTCAGACTGATATATAATGATAGATCTGGAGAGGAACCTAAGGTAATAAAAGAATGCAAAAAGCTAGGAGCATGAACCTTGCGACTTCTAATAACCACTCCTTCAGGCTGCTTGAGTTTTCCAAAATTCACAAATTCCTCCTCAACTTCAGACGGGGAAACAGTAGTCGGCAAGTTTCTTACATAAACAGACTTTATTTCGCCTAAAAAGTCTCAGAAGAGAAAAAAAAAGATTAATTAAATAAAACTGTTGGAGTCCGTTTCAAACTGCAGATCTGTTGATTTATTAGAGCGGACAAGAGAACAAAAAAAGGTCGTACCCAGTGCACAAGGCTCCCGCTTTACGCAGGGTCTGGGAGAGGTGAATGTCGGCTAGCCTTACCCCCATTTTATGGAGAGGCTGCTCCCAAGTCTCGAACCCGAGACCTACCACTCATGGGCGAAGGCACTTGCCATTGCACCAAGTGCGACCTCTTGGACAAGAGAACAAAACTAAGAAAAAATAAAAAAGACAGGAATTTAATAAAACTGAAAATTTTAAGCAATTATTCCCAAAGAACTCATTAAAATAAGCACAAGAGTTCACCTTCATCTTCTGGGGCAGCAACTTCATCTGCTGTCTCTTCTACAGGCCCTTCAAATGTATTAGATGGTGAAATGGGCTGCTGAGCAGAGGACTTAGGATAGTGATTCCACTCTGAAGCCATTGGTGCACTTTTGTTAGATGAATGGTGGGGAGTTACAGAAGGCACAGGTTGTCCTTTAGCAACGCGTAACTACCAAAAAAAATCAAGCAGACGAGTGGGCACACACAAATGAGCATAACCTTCCATACATACATACGTATGTGTTTTTGGGAAAAATAAAATAAAATTAGATACAGTATCAGTGCGTACTATAGAAGCATAGGTCTGCTTTTGGGGCTCTCCAATAGATTCCTCAACAGATGCATGCAGGTGATCTTGTACGGTATTCGGCGTGCTTTGAAGTGAACCATTTGATTGTTCTACAGCACCATCATCCAACAAGTTCTCAGTTTCAACAACTTGCTGCAACTGCTGCTCGGCAAAACCATAACGTTCAACTGGTCCATTTTCTTTGACAGCAGGAGCCACAAAGTCTCTTGTCTGAATTTCTTCACCCAGATAATAGTTAGCCACTGCAAAATCACCAGTTCCATCAATTAAACTACTAAAGAAAGACAGTTCTTTTATACATTGGAATGGTAATTATCAAACGACCAAATCAAAACAAGTTACTAAGAACTTCAGAAAATGCACTTAACTCCAAAAATTTCAAAAGAGCTTTTGAAATGGCACTGAAGGATGAGCCTTAAGGCCCTTAACCATGCATATATACAGTTTCAGATGAAGTAAAACATAACCATTCAACCACACATAAAGAAGAAACCAATAAACAACACACTTGCTGATTATAGAATTGGTTTTGTTGTCATACATAAAATTCTTTCTTTTCAAATACGAAATTCTTGTACATAAATGCAAAAATATAATCGAACAAATTCGACAACACCTTTTCTGGTAATAGTCATCCTTTCTCCCAAAATTACCCAGACTTTACAATGCCTGCTGATGAAGGAATCCTTGAAATCAACGTAAATCATGAGGCATTACAATACCTGGATGCGGAATTGTAGCAGAAGCACTTAGCTTGGCATCGAGATTGTTTTGGGCTAATAAGACTGCTGGATGTTGATGAATCGGTTCCTCATCAACGAAGTGAAATATATCATTCAGCACGAAAAAACCTCTCTCCTGAGGTGCAAGGAAAAACGTTTGAGCAAATTTCCTCTTCCCAGTGAAAGTTTTCATTTCAAGGTAGCCTTCAACCAGCACAAGAACACCTCCATTCCAGGATTCCAAGGAATTTGCTTTGTTGATTTCAAATCCAGTCAGATTAAGTGACATAACAAGATCATGGATTTGCTGCAGTATACAAAGAAAGAAAGATAAACTTGAGTATCAAATAGACAGGAGTCAAGATATAAACTATGCGGACAAGTGGAATCAAATTTAATTTCTTGTAACTAGGAAATAATGACTGAACATTTCAAGCAATAATTGTCTAATGGACTGTGAGTGAAAGAGTATGGAAAATGTTGATAGATAGATGTCAAGGCCTATTACAACAACAGGTTAGTTTCAATTTAAACATTTTTATAGCTGTAAAAATGAAAGGGTTATCAACATGATTAACTAAAAGGCCACCCATAAAACTGCAAATTCAAGTGAATTTAAAACCAATGAACCCAAGGGAGTTCGGTTGGAGGGAACTAATCGCTGGGCCAGTCTGGCTGTGATTAATATCTATATTGAAGTGTGATTTTTGTAGAACTTGAATCAAACTATTAATGCCTTTATCGAAGGGTGATTTTTGTATCACTTGAATTAAAACAGCAGACTTATCAAAGCACTCCATGTGTTATGTTTCAAATAAAAATTCAAATTTGTGGCCCAAAAAAAAAAAGAAAGAATCAAGAACAGAGCAGGATACTACGAACTGCAATAGGCACTTGATAAATGTCCAGGTATATCATTTATACCTGGATAAATACAGTTATTAAGAATTTAAAACAATTTATGGTTTACTAGACAAGATTCCTGAACAAGAAATAAAGAAATAAAATAAGAGAGATGCCGCAATATGAATGAATGTAATCAATTGTGAATAATGTCGCCATTGTTAAAACTGTAAACTCCAATTATACAATATGATTGTTTGTCCAGAAGTAGCACTTCCTGATATTTCTCATTAGGGGGTAACGCCTCACGAAATTAATGTAAGGACCACTTACAAGGTGCCCAACCTAATAAGTTCGGATTACAGTTTACAGTTTTGACAGAAATTAGGAAACAAAAATAGGAAGCGCAATGCTTAGACCAAATAGGCATACTTCTGGAAAAAATTGCCAGTTCTTATACCAAAATGGAAAGGTAATCTACAGCCAATATCCTTATACCAAATAGGCATACTTTTCCCAATTTAGTTGATCCACATAGAGGGACTGTACAAATTGCAAACTCCTCACTTGGGTACACCTCATAAAGGCCTAACGAGGAGTAACGAAGATACGAAAAGAAAATGCAGCCTCTCACACACAATAAAATGAGGTAAACATCTCTTCTCACAGCTAGATACACAAATGTCTGCAACTAGTAGACTCAAACTCGGGAAACCATTCTGCCAACCCGGTACATATAGGTAACC